CAATTTGCCAGCTCCACGACTATGACCATGGGATCATCCTGGTTGGGACTGACGCCGGCAAAGTCATTGTCGGTGAAGGTGATCGACGGTGAACTTTGGTGTGAAGCTGAGGTAGTGGAATGGATAGTGTTGATATTACGCAGGTGTCTTTTTCGGGCCGAGCTGGTGGCACCTCCCCCTGCAAAACCACCTGCAATTGTGTTGATAACTCCCCGTAGGGGAGCTGATCCTGTCTCGTGGCTTACCTCGGCTTGCACTGCTCCGCCGGTGTTTTGCTGAGAACCAGAGGGTTGGTCCGTGCGAGCTCTTGAACCGCGGCCTCTGCCTCGTCCGCGTCCACCATGGCCTCCTCGGTGTCCCTATTGTCGCTGGACATATTGGTCGAGATGGTCTGATTGGATGAGTTCTTCAATACGGTCCCGAAGTGAGCGACACTCTTCAGTGGTGTGACCGTGATTTCTATGGTACCGACAATGCTTAGACTTGTCGGCGCTGTTGGGGGTGTGACCTGGCAGTGGCAGAGTGAGCAGATTGTTGTTACTGGCCTCTTCCAGGATATGCACCCTGGGCGTGTTCTTGAATTGGCTGTCGTTGTTGACTTTGACCTTGTCCTTGTGACCCTGTTCCGGCTTCATTGGACCCTTTCCACGAATCTGGTCACGGAATGCGGAGTGTTCCTCCATTTGAATGTAGCCCGCAGCACGGGCACGGAGCTCGTCCATGTCGCGAGGAGCCTCGCGGCATAGGCTGTCGACGAATGGCCCGGGCTTGAGCGCCATGAGCATGGCATGTAGGGCGACTTCGGGATTCAGATTTCTGATCTTGACCGAGATTTAGCAAATCGCTCCATGAATGCCCGGAGTGGCTCGTCGTCGCTTTGTCTGAGACCGACCAGGGCGGCAGAGGTGATGTGGTGAGGTCAGCTCGTTGCGTACTGCGCTGTGAACCGCCTGACCAGAGTGCCGAAGCTGTCGATCGACTCAGCGGGAAGCTGGGTGTACTAGTTGAGTGCGGCCCCCTTGAGCGAGGTCAGAAAAACCCTACATAAAATAGCATCGTTGTTAGTGTAGAGGTTCACCTGTGTCGTATACAGGTCGATGTGCTCATCGGGGTCCGTTGTGCCATCATAGCGATCGAGGTGGACAGGCTTCCACCCCTGAGGGAGTGGTGTCTCCATGATACCGTCTACAAAGGGATGATGGCGGAAGGTTGCTTGACCCCCTATGATATGAGATGGGGCTTTGCTGACTTCATGGACCGACTTGTTCGTCGGAACATGAGACCGATGAGGGGCAGGTCGTGGAGTCGGTGCCCTAGTCGCAGTCCGGGGCTGGGAGACCGAATGCTCTTCTCCCTCGTGGAAGTTGCTTGCTTCAGAAGGATGATCGGAGGGGCGTCGAGGGAGTTGGGTGCGAATCTGCTCATTTTTAGCGCGTAGCACCGCTAGGTCAGCTTCATTGGCGGTCCGCATTGCTGCTAGGTCAGTTTCGTGCTGGGCACGCATGTTTCGCAGATCGGTGTCGTGTTGTTGCCGCATCTGTTCGACCTGGTCAATCAGTCTCCTCAATGTCGCGTCGTTATCCATGGTGGTTGTGTGATTTGCGTCGTCTGTTGCGCGTCTGCTATGGCTTCTGGTGAATACCATAAGCGTGGCCGATAAGAGCTGTCTTGATCGGCCCCACGGTGGGCGCCAAATGTTCTTACCGGAAATCTGCTGTAGAGATGATCCTCCGAGTAAGATTGGTGAGCCTCCTTCGCTGGTACGCTTGATGCTCCAAGATGGGGGTGGTACCTGCAAAAGAGACTCTGATGCTAAAGTTAGGATTTGTATGAGTATGAGTCTCGTATAAGTAATGCACGTACCTTAGTGTCAGTTAGGTTTGCGTTGGGCTTGGGGCCTTAGATAAGATATGATATGATCGGATAGCGGATCTCGTCTAGATCGAGATCTCCTCAGATGAGTTATGATCTGGTTAAATGATGAGCTGACGTTACGCAGCGCGTATCCGAGGTCGTCATGTGTTGCGATGCTGAGCTAGGAGCTCGGCCTTGCAGTACGGATAGTACACTTAGTAATTAGACTGATCAACGTTTGTGTCTAGCATCCAAAGCCTAAGACCAACGTTTTTGTCTTTTAAGTGTTAAGTTGACACAATTTCAAATTTTATACTTTTAATAAATTAAAAACTATTTTAGATATGATTTTTAAAGTAATTATTACAAAAATTTAACAATTTTCTTTTTCTTTTTATAGGATGATAATATAATTTTTTGTATTGTTGATAAATTCGAATGAAATTCACATGAAGTGTTTGTTGGACAAGAATAGTCAGCTGTCTACTAGTTATAAGATGGTATAAATAATATTTGTTAAGATTTTCCTTTATCAGAAAACTACAAGCTTAAAAACTCTTATTTAATTGGTATGAATCCTATATTGGCCAAAGATGCTTCTCGACTCTTTGTGGATGATCATTCAAGATTTACTTGGCTTTGTCTTGAATCCAAATTTGAAGTGTAAATTCTTTTAAATTAATTCACACTAAATTTAGAGCCATAATAAACAAAGTGCATTTGATCTGTAAAGATGATGCTCGAGTATTATTCTTTTTCACGACCGTATAAAGAAAATTTGAGCTCTTAGACAAATATTTGATTCAAGTTTTAATATATTTGATTATATTTATTTACTTATTTTAATTTTTTGAATTGAAAATTTTTAAGTAAATTTTAATAATTAAATAATTTTAAAATTTTAATCAATGATAATTCATTTCATGATTATCTTGTAATATATATAATTTATATGAATTAAATATAAAAAATTAATTTTAAGAAAATTTCTTTTGTAGTTACAAAGATTATAAATAATTTAAATTATTTCATAAACATTATATGGATGTAATTTTTTTCAATATAATTTAATATTTTTAATAAAATATTATTTTTATTAGTATTTTTTTAAATATTTTTAATTTAAAAAATAAGTCAATACTATTAATATCAAATTAATAATACTTCTCAATCACTTAGTAACTGTCTCTTAATCAAGATTTCTAAGAGAATATGTGTATAGAATAAATTATGTTGGAATGAGAGTATGTGTTACCTGGTATTAGATGTAAAAAATTTAATTTAATTTCATATTTTAAAATTTGTTAAAATATCTTGAGTATAAGAAAATTAAATTATTTAATATATGTACAAAATAATAAAATAAAATAAAAATAATTATAATAAGAATAAAATATATTAATCTTTAAATAATGTGTGATTTTATCACTGTCACTTTCATCAAAATATTTTTTTACAAATAATACTTTTTTTTTATGAAATTCAATTAGTATATTCATTCTAATGTCATTTTTATTTTGAATTTTGAAAAAAATTAAACTAACTTTTTTTTATATATTTTTAAATAAATAACAAACTTTTCAATTAATCTATATATATATATATATAGTTAATCATCTATATATTGTTAGTGTAAAAATTTTTTTACACTGACAACTAATTATATCTTTTAATAGTGTCATATTACTGTAAACACATTTACTTTTAACAGTGACATGACACAATTAAAAGATATAATTGATTGCTAATATAAAAAAACTTTAGACTGACAGTGTATATATATATATATATATATATACGGCCCTGGACTTCTTTTAATCCAAGGTTGCTCCTTCATTTTGAAGGTGATTGTATCCTCACAAGCTGTCAAACGGGCCCGACAACCCGGTCTGCAAGCCCAATACTTGCAAAATTGGGTTGGCTTTGTAGTATGGTTTAACTTATTGAGTTGAGCCAAATTTCTATTTATTTAAAATTTACAAAAGAAAAATAAAAAAGATAATACTAAGCTAAATCGGTTCAACAAAAGATAATAACTTATTCAGTTTAGAAATTATTAGTCGAATTCCTTTTTAGTCACTTTTCCTAGAGCCCAGACCATCATGTCATTGGACCAGACCATTACATACGGCTCTATCTTCACTGCTACTTTATATATATATATATCTCATTTCCAATTCTTAAGCACCAATATTTATTATTTGAACAATGGATGTGTTTGGTAAAATAAGTTTATATAAGCTATGTGCAAACTTATAAGGAGTTGAAAAGTAAAAAATTTATAAATTTATTATTTGAATTAAAAATATTTGATAAAATTAACGGATAAGATAGTCGATAAATATATAATAATATAAAATGATTTTTTACAAGGATGAGAGAATGACAAGATAGATAAAATAGTTTTAAAATTAAAAAAAGATAAAAAAAAAAGATTTTAAATAAATTAGTGATAAATTATTTCAAAAAAAGGTAAAAAAAAAAATTAATGATGATAGTAATAAAAAAAAACTAAGAACTTACATATAAATTATACACAACTTCAATTAGCTTATGAGAGTAACCTATAAATTCTTAAAATAAATTTATATAAATCCTTCAATAAAACATACTTATTTTGGTTAAATTAATTTATAAATTATTCAAAGAAACTTATAAACATATCTTCTTAAACACATTCTATATATTATATAAGAAACAACTTGATTATCAATCTTTCTGGACTTTTAGGTGTTTTTGAATCAAAGAGAAATAAGTTGAGTCTTTGTGCTATATAAGTTATTTTCTTTGGATACCTTATTATATTATATAATGTATAAAAGCTATATAATTTTGGAACACAATTTTCATTTCTTGGGATATAATTTTCCATGAACTTTTTCTGATGTGCTCCATTAAATATCTAAACGATCGAATTACCAATCTCCTAGTCTACATCCAAGGTTATTTATGCTTATTTGTCAAAAATCTAGTTGTTCACCCAAATACAATCATATCTGTACATACCGACTGCCCAATTTCCAAGGTTTTGGGCAAGCCCGAACTAGCCGGGAGAAAGATGGCTTGGTCGGTTGAGATATCTCAGTTCGACATTGTTTTCAAGCTGAGGGAACCGATCAAAGCTCAATGCCTAGCTGACTTCGTGAATGAACTCCACCCGCACGACAAATTCGAAGAACATTGGTGGACCCTCCACGTGGACGGTTCCTCAAACTGCTAGGGGGAGCGGAGCGGGAGTAATTCTGGAGGGACCCAAAGGGATAACTTTGGAACAATCTCTCCGCTTTCGGTTCAAGGCTTCGAACAACCAAGCCGAGTATGAAGCCCTGTTGGCTGGATTGAGGCTCGCCGAAGACATGGGTGCATCGAGAATCAAATGCCTAACCGACTCCAAGATTGTAGCTGAACAGGTGGGTGGTAACTTTCACGTGAAGGACCACAACATGATGAAGTACTACCATGCCTATCAAAAGTTGAAGCCTAACTTTCAAGAGATGTTGGTCGAGCACATCCCACGCGAGGATAACACCCGAGACGACCAGTTGGCCAGGTTGGCCGCAACCAAGAAGCCGGGTCAATTATGAACCATAATTCAGCAAGAAATCGACCACCCCAGTGTCGAGGAGGAGATGATAGCAAACATCAACGCCAACCACGCCGATCAGAGCAACCCCCAGATTGGCAAGCCGAAATCAAAGCATTCATCACTAATAGGGTCACTCCGGCCGACCCGACCGAGGCCAAATGGTTGAAAACGCAGGCCAGCAGATATGTCGTCATCGCCGGTCTGTTATACAGGCGTGGCTTCTCTACTCCACTACTCAAGTTCCTAGACCCCACCGAGGCCGATTACGTGATGCGAGAAGTTCACGAGGGTATTTGTGGAATGCACTCCGGAGTGAGAACGACCGTTTTCAAACTCTTACGAGCTGGATACTATTGGCTGACCATGAATACTGACTGCGCAACCTTTGTGAAGAAGTGCCAACCATGTCAGAAACACGACAACTTGATTCACTAACCGGCCGAGCAGCTACATTGCATTCCCCCAGCATGGCCATTCGCCATATGGGGGTCGACATACTTGGACATTTCCCAGTTGCCAAGGGGCAATGCAAGTTCCTCATTGTCGCCGTAGACCTTTTCACCAAGTGGATTGAAGCCGAGCCCCTGGCATGCATCTCAGCTCATCAAGTCCAAAAATTCTTGTGGAAGAATATCATCACCCGGTTCGGCATCCCATCAACCCCGGTGACCGACAACGGCTTGCAATTCATCGACCGAAAACTCAATGAGTTCCTAGCCGACCTAGGAATACAACACAAGGTCACATCGGTTGAGCACCCGTAAACGAACAGCTAAGCCGAATCTGCCAACAAAGTCATCCTAACGGAATTGAAGAAGCGCCTAGGAGAAGCAAAGGGAGCATGGGCCGAGCAGTTACCCGAGGTGTTGTGGGCCTACAGATGCACACCCCAGTCGTCAACACAAGAAACCCCTTTCCGTTTGGTCTATGGGTCCGACGCAATGATCCCGGTGGAAATCGGGGAACCATCTTTCCGTCGAGCCCACTTCAATGAGCAAAACAACGAGGCCAAGCTCCGAGCAAATCTGGACGTCGTAGAAGAGATTCGGGATGAGCACTAGTGGTAGCCGAGGCTTGCAAACAACGATACAAGAGGAAATTCGACACCAAAGTACGACCGAGAGAATTCATGGAAGGCGACCTCGTGTGAAGAGTCACAGGTGAAGCGAGAAAGGACCCGAGGCATGGAAAGCTCGCCCCAAACTGGGACGGACCCTTTCGCGTACTACACAACTTGAACAACGGAGCATACAAGCTAGAATACCTCTCAGGAGAACCAATTCCGAGAACTTGGAACTCCACACACTTAAAGATGTATTACAACTAATGTAAACGTGCACTCTTTTCCTTGATTGGCTTTTTTTTCCCTAAGGAGGGTTTTGGGTCGGCAAGGTTTTTAACGAGGCACTTTATTAATACAAGATATTTCTAAATATTAGTCATGATACTTCCTACTCTATTATATGTATACGTTCAGGTTACGCTCATGCAGGTCTAATCTCGGATAACCTACGCCGAAGCCGAGCAACCCTCGGCCGACCACACACAAGCGTACTCGAGCCCGACAGGTTTCCCTCCCGAGAACCCTCCTCGACTAAGGATGTACCTGGGCCGAGCATTATGGCTCACGCATACGCTGACATCGAGCCATCCTCGGCCAACCACTCAAAAATGCACTCGAGCCAGACAGGTTTCCCTCCTGAGTACCCTCCTTGGCTAAGGATGAACCTAGGCCGAGCACTACGACATGCGTCGACGCCGAGCAACCCTCGGCCGACCACTCAAACTGTACACTCGAGCCATACAGGTTTCCCTCCCAAGTACCCTCCTCGGCTAAGGATGTACCTAGGCCGAGTAATGTAACTCACGCATACCTCTCCGTCTAAGGAAACACCTAGACCGAGTACTACACCACGGGTGATCACTTCTTTTGGCCGTACATGATCTGATTCCGAGGCCGAGCACGCTTAGTCCGAGCACTCTCAAGCTGAGAGCTCTCGTGTGATCAAACACCGCGTATCAAATCGCGAGGTCGAGCATGCTTAGTCCGAGCACCCTCAAGCCGAGCACTCTCGCGTGATCACAAATCGCGTATCAAATCGCGAGGCCGAGCACGCTACGATCGAACACCCTCAAGCCGAGCACTCTCGCGTGATCAAGCACTTCGCGTATCAAATCGCGAGGCCGAGCACTCTTCGGCCGGTCACCCTCAAGCCAACCACTCTCGCACGCTCCAACACGCTTCGCGTATCAAATCGCGACCCAACATTCCGAGGCCGAGCACACTTAGGCCGAGCGCTCGCAAGCCGAGCATAATCGCGGGACCTAACACACATCGAGTATCAAATTGTGTCGAATACACCAAATCTAACTCTCCAGCTGGGCGCACAATTCAGTTAAAACTTCATACATGTAAGCATAATTCAACATCAAAAAGCTGGAAAGCAAAATAAAATTTCATTTAAAGTATGGTCGATCAATACGGCTACTTACACAAAAAATCAGCCTTACTGGCGCCAATGGCCAAATTACAAAAGGCACTAACGGCCCGGTTACAAGAAAACAAAAGTCCTAACCCTAACCTACTACCACCAGATCGGACCTCCTACACAACGACCGAGTCCTCAGGATTCCCATCGCCGACCACATCAATGATCGGCTCCTCCTCCCTGGCCAGTGGCGCTGCGGTTTGGGTTGAAATGCCTCGGCGTGGGGGTTCTTTGTCAGGCTGGGCCCCTTGAGGGAACTCGGCGTAACTTATGAATTTCCCACCATAGAAATCCCGACTAACGTCAAAGGAGAAGTCGGTCGGGATCTCACAGAAATAGTAGGCTTGTCGGACCGCGTGTTGGAAGCCGGCATCATGTTGATCCAAAATCTTCTCGGTGGCCTCGGCTTTGAACTTGGCAGCGGCCTCATTCAGCCGAGTAATCTCGGCAGTTGCAGCGGCGGCCTCGGTCTTCATCTTCTGGACCGTCAGCTTCAAGTCGTCGGCCTCTCTTCTATGGGCGTCGGTCGCCCTCTTTAACTCTTCGGCCGATTCAGTAGCCTTTACGTTGGCATTTAACGCCTCCTTCACCGTCATCTCGGCCTCCTTGAGCCGCCCTTGGATCCTTTCCTCTGAAACATCGGACCTCATCATGATATGTTTTGCAATCAGGGAGGTCCGAGCATCAAGCTCACAGAAAAGCTTGTACTTGGCCTTGGAGGACATCCCCTCCAAGTATTGAAGCCCACCACCAGACGTCAAGTCCAAGCCGACCAAATTTTCAGTCTGGGTGTTCGACACGAGGAAGTTGGAGCCGACCACCACAGTCGGAATGGCAAAAGCATCGCAGCCAGACTGCTCCAAAGTTGGTTGCTTTTGACGCTTTGTCGAAGAGCTTGGGCGTTCCAATTCTATGCTCTGCTCAGTCGGACGCATCCGAGACGTCCCGACCTTCTTCTTGGGATCAGTAAAGGGATCAGCACGTTAGAAGGCTTCTCCCGCTGAAACTTCAGGGCCGACCTCACAGGAGGCACTTTCCCACTTGCCTTAGCAGCTTTTACTCGATTTGCGAGCATGGCGGTCACATCTAGATCGTCTCCGGCCATTAATCCTGCAACAAAACAAGTCTTAACATCAATTCAAAACACTGCTACATTACTGAAGCCTAAAATACATACCTAGCAAGGCAAACTCAAAATGTGACGTTTCAAAAATGTCCACGAGGCCTCGGACAGGCAGCCCTTTCGACAACTGGTTGAGGAGCTCCACAATTTCCTTGTCCTCGGCAGTAAGCTTCGACACAGGCATCGCCTCGAAATGCGTCAGGTGCTTCATACAGTAGAAAGGGAATAGCAAAGATCCTTCTCGGTCGTAAAAATAGTTCTCCATTTTCGACCCCCAACGGACTTTGAAGAACCTACTCTTAAACCCTTTGTAAGAGGATGTGAATGCCCGTAAGAACCCACGCTTCGGCACCCGAGCCAACGAGACCCATTTCACCGGTTTGCTCGGACGATAAATATAATAAAAAAGGAAGGCGAGTGGTTGGGGCGTAAGATCCAGGCAAAGACATAGGTTCCGGAATGCTTGCATGGCCGCCTAAGCATTCAGATGCAGTTGGGTCGGCGCCATGTTCAATACTCAGAGCACCCCCATTTGAAAATCATCGAAGGGCAGCTTTATGCCGAGATCCTCGAACCAGCACATGTAGGCGTAAAAGTAATCATCTTCATCGGGCCCCAGCTTCAAGAAGACAAAGTCAGTGTCCGGCCCATCGTCCTTGCACGCCTCGGCAAGTAAAGGCAATTCATCTTCCCCGCTCCCGAAGCACTTCTCTAAGGACTCCAACGTGTCTAGTAGCCCTTGGTCGAAGAACGACAAGAAGTATATGCCGACCTCCCCATCCACCCACTCGTAACCGGGCATTTCAACCGTGCCGTAGTCAATTTTCACCTTCGCCCGAGTACTCGGACCACCCACGACTTCGCCTTGGGTGTCACCGAGCACACCTACATCACCCCCACTCGCTCCAGCATGATGGGCCTTCCCGTTGACGCGTGCTGAGGCCACTGCTACCGTCACAGGGGGCGACACCTCCACCACCTCGTCTCCACTACTTTCCTGCTCGGCAAAATCCGAGGGGAACACCACTTCACATTGCAACGAAGGCAGCCTTGACACTTCACTTGAACCCGACCCCTCTCTCTTTGAAGAAGCACCCGACGCCTCCGATGACGTCCAACTCCTAGCCGAGGAGCAACCTCTATCCATTTATTACCAGAAACTAGATAATACAAACTTTTACCTTGATCGGTGAGTTCGAACGAATCTGAATTTCAGAGCCCTCGGGAAATTTACAGCAAGTAAATTCCCACACGTCCCCTATTTATAGGCAAGGTAAAAGGGGGGGAGGTGAAAAGACGCCCCGAAACTGCAACCGTTCGATCTGGACCATCCAACGGTCTAGATTTAATAGTCGTTGGGCTTTTAACCGCTAGGGCCAACGTGGC